TTTTTTGTGGGACATGGTGGTTTACTTTTATCTTCCACACCACAGTCGAGAGTTAAAATAATAGGTTTGTCTTATGTGGATATAGAAAATCACGACCCTGAGTAGTTATCGCCGCAGCTATCTATTCCGTTTCTGCCACGTTCCAAGTAATTCAATAAAGGCGACAATTTGCTTTGTGAACGATGTGAGAAATTGTGATGGAATGTGAATATTTGACTGCATGTGGCTTGGTATAATACATCCTTAGCTGGCTCTTGCCCATTCGGGACATTTGCATTATTTATTACAATTTTCGTAATAAGGACTTTTGTGTGGTTTTTGACTAGCCTGGAATTTAGGAAAACTATCAGTTCGGAGGGTGCAGAACTGGCTTTGGAGTAATTTGTAACACACACACACACACACAAAAAAGAAACTGCGACAAAGCTACGAACACTAATATAAAGAAATCGATTTGTTGGTGAAGTTGGTTGCAAACATAACTAAAGTTAATGATGCGGATAGTTGTTGAAGATTAAAAGTTGGAGAACAAGGGCACGCACAATTTAAGGGAAGTTCCGAACTTTTTAAGGGAATTCATGAAGCAGTGTGAACATATAAAGAGGAAAGTATATCTATCTCCTTAAATTTCCTAAACGGGATCATTTTCTATATCCAAATTGGTGACGCCAACACTTAAAATCGTTGTGAAGTCATACTCCACGTTTTGGGGTATTCTCAAAACTGAAAAATTTGTTTTGGCATTATCCGTTTGTGAACAACACTAGCGACTAAACAATTCACAGAATTTTCACCAAAATTGATATTTCCTGATTTCGCTAATGTCGAGATCTCTTTAATTTTAAACGATTATTTTAATTTTGCTTGTCGCATTTCGTTAAGCTCCTCAATGTTTGAATTGTTTTCAAATGTTTATTTAATCTTAATTTTTCTCCTCGGATGGAACATAAAAATGGCGCATGTCGTATTTTTACTGAAACCCCTGAATTTTCGAAAATTGCAAAAGCAAAACATTTTTCCAACCTCCCTCCACCAACTTCATTTTTGAAGATAGAATTTTTTTAAATAAAATCTGTTCTTCAAAATTAGATTTCTAAATAATGTAATGTACAATTTTGTTCAAAATGAGTAGTTTTCACGTAATTGTGAGTGAAATTAAATTTACAAATATATATTACAAATATGTGATCAAGATTTCCTTAAATACAGCTCAAAGTTTTTTTTCTTTGAAACTTTTGGTCAATTATAATCAAGTTTGCTTAATAATAGGGTATGAGTCGTATTTACATTACAAAGTCTGTAATTTTGAAAATGGTAATAGTTCGTTTTTTTTTCGTAACGTACCCTACATCTTAAATTTTGAAGCTAGAGACAATGCAAAGTATTCTTCAATAATAATATTTTACAAATGATTTCTGTTTTTTTTTTCAAGTAATGTTAGTAAACCGATTTCGCGTAATTTCGGGATGAAAAGTTCGGGATCACAACGATATTGGTGTATAATAAAGCGGTGCAGCGATAGCTCAAGCGTAGCGCACTAGACTTCCACTCGAAAGGCCCGCGTTCAAACCCCAGCCTGGCTAAACAATTTCCATTGTTTCTTTTCTTTAAACCTTTCGTAAGAATGCAGTAAAATACACTGAATTGAATGGCGGAAAGACATTTCATGTAAACTTTTGAAATGAAAAATAAATGCATTTTTTAAATTCAGGTGTTCAGTGGGTTCGAAGTTTTAATAGTATATTACATAACCGTTACTAATAGTACGAGAAACTATGTATTGTTGTGTCACCACTACCTTTTATTTGTGAATGGATGGTGTTTCACATTTGTTCAAGCACAGATATCTCCAGTTAAGTTAGAATTTTTCACTCAGTTTCATATTTTTTGTAAGGAATTGCAATGGCATTTCGCTATTTTTACTATGGTACTCATTTGTTCAATTATTACTTTTGAAATCAAGAAGATATGAAAGTGATTTATTTATTCCTAGTGTATGTTAATCATATCCCTCGTTGAATTACCTTAAATCCGATTTAGTTGCTTGTTTAGTTTAGTTGAAAGATTATCTGCATATTTTCTTAATTGCCCGTAACCGCTACTTTTTGGTTTGGATTGAAATTTTTATAATCAGTTTCAAGTGCGCGCAGAAATTGAAAGAAAACTATGCAGCCTCCGGCAATGTAAAAGGTATTAATGGTTTCGTTAAATTCCCATGAATCGCGAAAGAACACATTGAAACAGTTTCGAGTTTGACTGAAAAATGCGAATACTTGATTGGTTTATTCCGCGTATTCTCAAACCACGCGCACCAATTCCTGTACTCGGCGTACGACACAGTCGACGTCATGCATCAATGCTCCAAGGAAGAGGTCGCCCGTCATTAAATATGTGCTATTTACGTGTTGCGTTATGAAACAGGAATTTCTTTGATACTCTTGTCAGAAAGAATTGTGGTATTGTATAAGAATACTATACTATGTTATTGATTATTCGTGAAGACTTTTTGAAAAAACATAATTTATTGTAGTGATATACAAGAATATTATTTATGTTTCTTGAGCAGTTGTGCATGTTACTTTTGGGAAAACCATTTTGTGTGATTTTTTTTGTTCAGAATTTTTGCTTCTACAGGCCATTAGTTTCTAACTGAAAGTACCATTTGAAGTTAGTAAATTGAGAGCGCTATGTATCTTAAATTATAAATTTAAGTGAATTTCTTTGTAGAAAGAAGGAAAGAACACATTCAATTATTTTCCCATAATTTGTTGGTGTTAATGATAGTAATACAGTATAATGTTTTCCCTAGGTCTACATGTCTTTTTTATCTTGGTAACGAACCCACGAATGTTAATAATTATCGCAGCCTGACGGCGTTAACTGTCGATGGTCTCGATCAATTTCAATGCGCTAATATTCAAATGTTTGTAATTTGACTTACTCTGCATTGAACGTCTACGAATATTGTTTATTCATCACCTTGTTTTGATGCTACTTGATATAGACAAAATCGTGAAGAGGTAAAATGTCGTGCTTGATGGAATGTTCAATAAACTTTGCAGGACTCCCTAACTCTCCATTTTTTGTTGGCTTCTCGTTCTAGCTTCTTTTTTTCACAAAAAAAAGGCTCTGTCGGTCTTAGCCTGTTCCGGGAGCGCCCAATCGATTTTGGCGCCTCTGCGGCAGTGGCTCGCTGGGATTGGTCGGCGCGTGGTCCAATAGGAGCGCGTGTCGCGAGCGGCGCTGGAGCGCATGCGTGGCGACCCCGGGCTCCGCACGGTGGCGGGGGCGGACGATAGGGTGCGTGAGGGGCAGAGCGGGGGTGAGGGTAAGGGCGAGGGTGAGGGGTGCGAGCCCCGCGTAGGGGTTGAAGGCGAGCGTGGGGCCGCCTCAGTCGGCGCTCGGTCGCCGGCGGCGCGCGTTGGTGTCGTAGCTGTGGCCGGCAAGGCATCAGGCGGCCGTGATTGTGGACTGGGCCTCAGAGGGCCTTGGGCCGGGAAGAGCTTCATGCAGCCGCACTGCCGCGGCGCGGGCGGCGAGCCTCAGCTCTCTGTCTTTGGGCGCAGCTTCGCTTCCGCTGCTGCTGCTGCTGCTACTGCTCCATCGCAGCCTCCTCCTTGCTCTGCTTTCGCCACTGCGGCTCCGCGTCTTCTCAGGGGCGGAAGTGTTAAGCGCGACACGATGCGCTGGCTGCTGGACTTGTTCGCGCCCCGTCCGAGCGGCTTCGTTTCTGTGGTGTGCGGCCGGTCGCTTCGGGGACTCTTGTGATATTCCCGTGCATTTAGATCCGTCTGATGCCTAGGATCCGTCCATTTTTATCCGAAATTCTCCTTGTCGGATGTAGGGAACGAATGGCATTTTAAATATCTCATGATTGTTCCACGATGTGTTCTCTATTAGTAGTGTAGTGTCTGGAGAGCGCTTGTGATCTTCCACTGCCTATTGTGTTCATAGTGGAGAAAATCGGGCTTCTGTAGTTGACTAGTCCTTTCAGTTTCTCGTAATGTTTTCTTCTTTGAAATTGTAGAAGTGTACCAATTGCATTTAATATTTCTGGAGCATGTGAATAGTGTTTGGATCTTTTTCTCGCCTATTCATATTGTCGGAAGAATTTCTTTGTCATCAGCCGTCCATGTGTCATTTTATATATTCGATTACATTAGTCTTGTCCATTGATCTCCAGTGTACCGGTTATTACCGAGCTTTAACTGTGATATTATGCGAGATACATCGAGTAGGGTTCTAGTCGTGAAAGTTTATGCTTTTATGTTAGCGTTGTGCGATTGCACACATTGATGAGATTACTAGTCTTTCAGTAGAAAGCGCATGTGCCAGCCGAAATCTGTGATAAAGTCGTCTGGATGCGTGAGTTAGTGTGGTCGTGTTTCGATTTTTAGCCTTTGCAAAAGATAGCATGCATGCAACTAGCGACATTTCAATGCCTTGCTCAAGACTTGTAGTTTAAAGAGACGTTTGAATAATCTTGCTGTGAACGACCGTCTCTCTTCGTTCCAACGTCGTTTGTCGGTGGGTGAGGAAGCAGCATGGGTTTGCGTGGGGTAGCCCCCTCGCAGCCTCCCGGGGCTCGCTGGCCTGCAGCAGGGCTTCGTTCGCGAGTTAGACCTCGTTATGCTATTATACTTCCATCTGCGCCGGAACGGCACTTCCATTAACGTCGAGAGCGACGTTGACAGATTAGACTCCGTCCAGTCGGGGCCGTAAGCGGATAGACGGCGCCTTCCTTCTCGAGAGGTTCGTCGCAGGCACCAGGAGATTTCGCAGTTCCCTCCGACTTCGGAGCCAGCCCTCGGCCCTTGGCCCGCATCGGCTGCGGAGATGAGCGGCGCCTGCCCGGCGAGCGGCCCTTATTGGGCGTCGGGGGCGCAGCGCCGGTGCGCATGCGCCGTGACCTGGCTACCGCCGCCGTCGCTACCGTCGCCACCACCGTCGCTGTGCCGTTGAGGGGTTGAAGAGACCAGGCGCACCGCTTCGGTCGGCATTGTGTGTGGCCGGCGGCGCGCCGCAGCGTCGCGCGGGGGCGGAGGCGGAGGCAGAAAGCGAGCGCGACGTTCTGCTGCCCTGGGACGAGTGATTCGCCAGAGGGCGGAGTGCACAACACCCGATCAGCCGGTTTCCTTTTGGCTGGCTTTTTTTCTCCGGCAGGGGCTGGACTCCAGCCGTGCTAGCCTTTCTGGGCGCATCCCGACGAGTTTGCCCGTTCTCGTGGTACCTTTCGGCGATTCTTTTGCCGAATTGGTCCTTCCTACTGATCACCGGGACTTTTTTCCGGCTGATATTTCTTCAGTCAAGTTACTTTTATCCACCTTCCGTGAGTTGTCTTCCCCTTCAACACCTTCAGACTCGTGGCAATAAGCTCTTCTGTAGATTAACTTCTTCGTCCCATCTCTTCCTAGTGCTCGTGAAGGGTGCTTCGCTCTATCCCACCCTCGGCCGGGAGATTTCTTCCCTCCGATTCCCTTCATCGAGGGTTTCCCGCATCGGGTTCCCTCCCGGGGGAGCCGCGCTCCCCCTTTCGTCCCCCCTCATTCTCTTCCGGCGCCCGCTCGATCCCTGCCGCTCGCCCGCCCGCCTGCCCGTTTGCGTCCGACCATCCGCGCCGCCTCGGGCCCCATTTTCGCCGTTGACGTGCCGCGTGGGAGGTGAGGGCGGCGTGCGCGTCGCCGCGCCCATGGACGCGTGGGCGTGCCCGTCCTCGTCTTCGTCGGGCTGCTGCCGCCTGCTCCTGTCCGCGTGCTGCCCGCAGCACGGGCGCAACCGCCGCGGCCGCGCGCCGACGATCGTGTGGACGCCCCTGCGCTACCCGGACATCTCGGTAGTTGGGTTTTGGACCCCGTTTGGGATTTTTGACATGGCGTGCCTTGCCCTTGCCCTTGCCATGCCATGCCGTTCTTAGTCCGACTAGATGCGGCCTGCCTGGTTTCTTCCGTCTAGGCTGACGCTGATCAGAGAATGAAACGCTATTTGGGTTAAAAATTGATTCAACAAACGCTATAGATAAAATAATGTACGGGAATTAGGTAATGGGCCTGCGTCAGTAAACATCCACATGGCACATTCTGACCTTTTTCTCATTTTTTTGTGATAACCATTCAGTTATGTATTATATTACATTATTTTCCTGAGCACCGAATAAGAGCTCGTCGCATATGTTGGTTGCCATGAGTGTCGAGAAGCCCCTGGAGACGTCAAGATATCTTCTGGACGTGACAATTCTCATTGAAGGGCCTAACGAAATGATAAACCAAAATAAATATTAATAGTTTTAGTGAGACGCCGAGGTCGTTTTGGTGCAGGTCGTTCTTCCGTCGTGACGGAAGGACGGTGCGCATTTCAAGCTACCGAATTGGAAGAGTGTTTATGTGGGTGATGTGGAGTGGGCGGCAACATTGGCGTAAGGCAATGGCATTTCTGCGTATCTCAATCGAAGTTTTCGAGTGGCAATTGAATTTTGCCAATGGTATGCTAAGGTGCTTTTACGTGGTCCATCCACCAAGAATCCTAAGGTTTTCTTCACAAAAATGATTTGTGGTAGGATTTGGGGTTTTCTAGTTGTTAGAGGTTGAGGAACCCTTGTTTTGAGGATTGGGAGGGAGGAATTTAGTATGTGGCGTAGGTTGTCTTAAGTTCTCTTTTCAAAGCTGTGTACTTAAAAAAAATAATGTAATGTAGAACGAAATTTCTGAGCTTTTGTTTCATTTGTTCCTTAATATTTTTGCTTCAACGATTTGCGAAATGAGTGTGGATATTTAAATAACCCCTCTGCAAATTTGCTAAAAATGTATGGTTTACAGAAATTTTTGTTTAGCTCAAGAAAATATTCGACTTGTACATTATATTTTGAAACTTTTCCCAGGAGAAATGTAAGTTTGTCTTGAAAGTCTAGTAGGTTAGTGTCGTTTGTTCTTTTGTTTTTTGTTGTACCTACTGAGTTGCCTTCATTTTCTCAGAGTATTGTTTGGGGACTGACTGAATTCAGTTACTGTGTATTAATTAATTTTCACACTTATGGACTAAACATGTCCATACAGAGTTAGAAAACAAAATATATTTGGTTGTAATAATTTTATCCTTTGTTACAGCAGGCACTTTCCAGCACAATGGCGACGCTGTCGCTTCGCATCAGCATTGCCGACAAAAATGTCACCAAAACAATGCAATTTGACCCTACAACAAGTGTCTACGATGCCTGTCGTATCATTCGAGAAAAGATATCAGAAGCCAACCAGGGACAGCGTAAGTATTCCTGTTTTCATAATTCAGAGATTCACTTATTTAGGCTGTAGCATTTTAATTGTATAAAGTGGGTTAATGAATATTTAAATATGCTAGTACAGTATCATGGTAAAATTTAGATGCAGTTTATGATATATCCAAAATGAAGGGGATGTGATTTTCAGCTTAAAAAAAAAAAGTGAAGGGTGGACATGGGAAAGGGTGTGAGTCCCAAATGTAAGTGTTCGAGAAAATAGAGAAAAAAATCTCCTATGCATTTTCTAATCAAAATTTTTCTTTATTTCTTTGTATTTATATGTCAGTCCATAAGACGAAGAACATGTCATTCTACTCATATCATGAAAGCATGGTTTTTACTGTTATGTAAACTTACAAATGTGTTTTGTTAAAAATTTTGGTATTTTGAATTCATGAACTCTTAACATTGCTGTTTAATCCTTCTCTCTGCATTGTGTATGTGTCCAGAAGTTATTAGGGGGAATTTCTTTGTGTCACTGAGTTTGGTACAAGATCGATTTTTGTTCTTTATTCAGTCTTTTGTAACTTAGAAACTTTTTTTTTTTTTTGGTTGATAGGGTCAGTTCTATGGTTTCTTTGGTTGATACGTCTGTTGTATCCAGTTTGGATTTTTCTATTCACAACCATGAGAGTGTGCTTATTTGCAATTTTTATAGCCTGTAGACATTAATATGCCACAACATCAAAGTCAAAGAATTTGTCATATGCCATTGTAATGACATGGAACAGAATCTTTTGACCAGAAACTTTTTATTTTATCTTAAGTCTCATTTGATACATGTACCATGGCAATGCATTTTTGTTTCTGTTATTCAGTTATGCCAAAATTAATGTTACAAGGCAAATAGCTCTGCCCTGTGGTCCGAAATTTAAGTTAAAAGTCATCATAAGAACCTTTGCCAACCAAGTATGCAAGTACTGTCAAAGTCATGCTACTCTTGTTTTCACACAGTTGTCACACCAAACTGGGATGTACCTTTTGGGGGGAGATTTGGCTATCAAGCTCTTCATAGAAAAAGTAGTCTAATTCATTATCATCCCTGGATGTAATTCCTGAAGAAAACTGTGAACTGAAACATGAGTGATGCATAGGTCACTTACATCATTCTCCATGCAGGAACTGTTGAGTTATAACTTGAACCATGAAGAGTGTTTTCCGCACTAAAGCCTTAATGACTCAGGCTTACATCCTTTACCATTGCACCCATTTCCATGTCAAATGTGGAAATTTCATGTTGTGGCACTTACACCCTTCCCATGCCTGCTCTTCGATTGTAGTTTTTTCACAACATGTGATCAAAATTACTCACTGTTAAATTAAAGAATCTATTGTAATCAACTAATTCATAGTGATCAAAAAACTAACCCTAAAACAAATAAGATTATAATATATTTCTTGTAATATATTTCTTGTTATCTGTAAATGTGTTGATTTTTTCCTGTACAATTTATTATTTTCAAATAATTATATGTGATTGTGTTATCTGAGAAACACTTCAAACATGTGATCAAGATGTAGTTGGTTATTGCAAAATTCATGAGTTGAGGGAAGTGATTTTTCTGTTTAATAAGTACTTTCTTCCTCCAGCTAATATTTTAATGATATTTAATGGTTAAGAAGTGTTTGCTGATCTATGTAACTTGCTGGCTTTGTGATTTATCCAGTTGTGGTTCCATTTGTTTTACATTGTTTCCCTGGTATATTAATTGACGAGTTTCTTTTCTCAGTGTGAATGAATTTTTTTTCAATTTTCTATTTTATTGTTTGTAAAGAAATCAAGTTTGCCTCTCCTCAAATATTTTGCCTAAAATGAGTATCTGGTCAGTGGTCAGGTGGCTTGAATGTATCATTAACACTGAGAACTTGCAGTCTATAATAAAAATGTAGGGTTCATTTAAACGCAAAATATTAAAGTAAGAACAAATAAACTAATTTTTCATGAACTTCAATAAGGTAATCTTAATTAAATATTTGTATTTTGGATAACCTTTATTATAGCCCTGTTGTAACTTGAACTATACTTAATTTCAAACACAAGGGAGATATTTTTGGATAGGTGAACCAGAACTTAATATTTTAATTTTCTTATTAGCATTGTATCGAGTGTCTATTATATCGTTAGAATTGTTTTGGAAAAAAATGGATTTGCTTTGGAGCTAATATTAATTTTACAATACCTGCCTTATATATTTTGTTGACTTTTATGTTTTATTTCAAAGTTGTTAATTCCAATTCAAGACAAATTATTGGTTAATACATTTTTGTGGGTAATATTCTTTAAATTAATATTTTTTGTAACAAGTAGTCTAAATAGCATGTTTGAACTCTTTGTAGCAAATGACTACGGGCTGTTTCTGGCTGATGAAGATGTCAAGAAAGGAGTCTGGTTGGAACCAGGCCGAAACCTTGAATATTACATCCTAAGGAATGGAGTAAGAATTTAATATGAAATTTTGTACATTTAATGTTTCTTAAAACACATTGCATTTGTGGAGGAGACTGCCAAATGTTCAGCATTTTTTAAAAACCATTTAAAGATTTTGAGCCAATAGGAAAAATAATAAATATTACTTTAGAAAATTGAAGCATGTTGTGTATAACAAACTTCTAATATTCATTGGTAATTAAGGTAAAATACAATGACCTCTGGTGGATGTTTATCTTTTAACTATTTTTAATGTTGTGAGAGGAAAACCAAACGATATGCTGTAGAATCACTATTGTTGCAAGTTGGACAGTTGCATTTTTCCAGGACAAAGGTAGGCATTTATAAGTGCCAAATCACTCAGAAATGATTTTTTTTGACTTGTGGGAGTCTTCTACCAAAATGCAAAAGGTACAGGAGTTACAAGACTAAATATTAGTTAAATAAAAGCTTTATAGTTTACTATAATAGTAAGTTTATGGCAATTACATGAGTATATATTGAATTTTCTGTAGGGTACAAAAATTAATACTCTGCTTGATTGAAATTATTAAAGAAAATTAATATTTCAGGACTTGCTAGAATACAAGAAGAAACTAAGAACGTTAAGGGTTCGAATGTTGGATGGTACTTTGAAGACACTTCTGGTTGATGATTCCCAACCAGTAGCAAACTTAATGGTTGTCATCTGCACAAAAATCGGTAGGTTTTCAATTGTGATGATTTAATGTTTGTTTAAAGAAAAAATGGGGGCTTTCACAAAATATACATGATGTTTTCTGTGCATTTCTAGTGAAAATATTTAAAGTATTGGATTTTCCCCCCTTATTATTTTAGGTATCACAAATCATGATGAGTACTCGCTGGTGCGGGAAGCGACCGCAGAAGAGGAACCGGAAAGACCTGGGTTGGGCACACTCACGCTTCGAAGACGTAAAGCTCAGGAAGATAAAGAACCACGTGATTCTAAAATGGAACAATTACGAAAGAAACTTAGAACAGATGATGAAGGTTAGTCTTACTGCAAACAATGCTCGTTATACACTTTGTAGAAAAGCTTATTAGTTCATGTGAGAATTTGATAATTCCATGTATTATATTTTCAAATTTGCATATAGTGTTTAACTATTTTGCATTAAAGATTTACTCTAGTCTATGTTGTTCACAGTGAACTGGATAGACCCTAGTAAAACACTGAGAGAACAAGGTGTGGAAGAAAGTGAAGCCGTTCTGCTTAGAAGAAAATTCTTTTTCTCTGACCAAAATATTGATGGTCGTGATCCTGTTCAACTCAACCTTTTGTATGTTCAAGCACGTGATGCAATTTTAGATGGAACTCATCCTGTAACTTTGGATAAGGCCTGTGAATTTGCTGGTATTCAGTGCCAGATTCAGTTTGGTGACCATAGTGAAACAAAACACCGAGCTGGTTTTCTAGAGTAAGTTTATTATAATATTGAACAGTAGAATATAAAGTAAGGGCAATTAATACAGAGTACAATAAAGACGATATCAAAAAGAGTTAAATTCAGTATCTAAACATTAATAAAAATGTTTATTTACTATGTTAAAGATATTCATTATATTATGTTTCCCGTAATGATAATACGTCCAAGATTTATATGTAAATTTTATTAGGAATAACATTAAGATGTATTGTGCGAGTTTTGGATTGCAGTGGAACTGGTATAATTGCATACTGATTAATTTTATTGCATCCTTCGTGTTTATGGAAATGATAGTTTCACTTAATATTGTTGTTGTTTTAAAATACCATCTCCCAGAATAACTGCAAAGAATTTTTAAGGAACTGCAAAATACAAATTAATTTATCAATTATACTAAATTTATTTTCAAAAGAATTTAATGAAAACATATCTTTTTTGTTTTGTAGTTTGAAGGAATTATTGCCTGCATCATATGTGAAAGTGAAAGCTGTTGAGAAGAAAGTGTTTTCAGAGCACAAAAAGCACATGGGACTTTCTGAATTAGATTCAAAGGTTTTGTATACTAAGACTGCTCGTGATCTACCTACATATGGTGTAACATTCTTTTTGGTTAAGGAAAAAATGAAAGGAAAGAATAAACTGGTCCCTCGTTTGTTGGGAGTTACAAAAGATTCGGTATGTGCAATTTGTATGTATTAGCGTATTGTATAAACAACTTTCTTACAAAATCTTTCATTGAAAATAATTATTTCTGGTGTTTTATGATTCTTCATTTTAAAGGTGCTAAGACTTGATGAAAAAACAAAGGAAATTCTTAAAACATGGCCTTTGACAACCGTACGCAGGTGGGGTGCATCTCCAAACACATTTACCCTAGATTTTGGTGATTATAGCGATGAGTACTACTCAGTACAAACGACAGAAGCCGAGCAAATACTCCAGTTGATTGCTGGATACATCGATATCATATTAAAAAAGGTAACAATCTTTATTTTATACTTGCTTACCTATAAGAATATTTTCGCAATTCATAACTTTATCCTAAATATTAGTTCTTAAAATGTTGTTGACTTATAATTTACAAATTCCTTCTTAAAATGAAATTAACAAATAATCTTTCTTCTTCCTTTAGAAAAAATCTAAGGATCATTTTGGTATTGAGGGTGATGAAGGATCTACAATGGTAGAAGACAGTGTTTCACCTCTGAAGTAAGTTTTTTTGATTATCATGTGATTCATAAAGATGATGGTTTTGAAAGATTTTATTGCAAAAATCAGTATCCATCAGTTTATATTTTTTTATAAATACATTGAAAATTGAGGCAAGATTAAATCTTCCTGCATAAAGGAAATTTTATGTTAGTGCTTCCACAAATGTTTTTTTCTTATAAATGGATAATAGTTACTTACAAGCTTGTGTGATTTTTGTGCTTTTTTTTATAGGGCCACTATTCTACAGCATGAGACAAGTCGTGTTGGCAAAGTGAACACTGAATCTCTTGCAAAACCTGCAATAATGAGAGCTGGTGCAGATGGTATGTTTTTCAAGATTATTTTTTATTTCATCTTCCAAATACAGCTAGTTTCTCTTTTCCTTTCTCTTTCCTGTCATCTTGGGGTTCCTTTGTTGGAATATTGTAGTGAAATACTTTGAGGTGTATGTTAGGTTTTGTTTCATTTGGTTTTTAGAGAAATTGTTTGTTGCAATTATAGAATATTAATGTTAACATTCTCATGTATGTATTTTTTATTGTAATCTATGATTCTTCCTAAGAAATTTATTAGTATTTTTTAGGAACCCATTGCTTATATTGAGATATGAGTTGAGTCAAATAATTTCTTTTGTGATATAGTGTTAGGCATAGAGAATTTCAATATTATTTAAAAGTATATTCCTTTAATTAATCAGTGGTGAATAGGAGCTTACATGGAGTGCTATATATCATTGCAATATGAAATTTATCTTTTAAGGGGGGATTTTAAATGCATTAGAGCTCAGACATGAATACTTTTATTTTGATCTATCTAGTACAAAAACAAGGACAAGAATAGAATTTCAATGAAAGAAAATATCAGTTAATTCATTATCATCTTCATTGATTACACGATTTTCTCTTAAAAAGTTATAACTAAAAAAAAAAGAAATTAT